TATTCTATTCTATTCTATTCTATTCTATTCTATTCTATTCTATTCTAAATGGGAGCCGTGATATGCTGCAAAAAACACATCTCCTGTTAGGATTTTTCCAAGTCTGTCTCCAGGCCCCAATAAACTTGACAGATGGGGGTTTCTTTGGAAAAGTATAGCCAAAAATATAAAAGTTACAATTTTGGGAGATTGGAAAGAGCTTCAGCAATAGGGGCATCTAGTAAATGATCGTTTTCTGTTTGGCCATGGCTGTCATTTTTTAAATAACTCTCCCTTTGGCCATGATAATAACCCTCCCTTTGGCCATGATAAGTATTTTCTGTAAGATAGTCCATACCATGCTTGCACCAGCCCCCTAAGCTTGCTATATGTTTTAAATATTTTAAAGGGCTAATTTGATTCTAGTATTGTCAGCATCACTGCATCATTTTAGATCAGAAGTCTCCCTGCTTTCTGACAACCTGAGGAGAACTCCATAAAAACTTGCTTTTCTGAGAAGGCTTATCAGAGGGGGGGGGAGTGGGGAAGAGGAGGGGGGAGGAGGAGGAGGAGAATCTCAGAAAATTAGAATATTGTGAAAAGGTTCAATATTCTAGGCTCAAAGTGTCCCTGCTCTAATCATTCAATTAAGCAATAATACCTGCAAAGGGTTCCTGAGCCTTTAAATGGGCTCTCAGTCTGGTTCAGTAGGAAGCACAATCATGGGAAAGACTGCTGACCTGACCGTTGTGTGGAAAACCATCATTGACACCCTCCATAAGGAGGGAAAGCCTCAAAAGGTAATTGCAAAAGAAGTTGGATGTTCCCAAAGTGCTGTATCAAAGCACATTAATAGAAAGTTATGCCGAAGGGAAAAGTGTGGAAGAAAAAGGTGCACAAGCAACAGGGATGACCGCAGCCTGGAGAGGATTGTCAGGAAAAGGCCATTCAAAAGTGTTGGGGACTTTCAGAAGGAGTGGACTGAGGCTGGAGTGAGTGCATCAAGAGCCACCACACACAGACGGATCCTGGACATGGGCTTCAAATGTTGTATTCCTCTATACTCCTTGGGTAAGGTGTAATGACCAAGTCTGTATTATGTTTCCAGTTGTTCATAACTTATATGTGCAAGTTAAGAAATCTGCAAATATTGCTTCATATATAATCTGATTCCCCACCCATAGCCAAACCCAAAGAAGCATGGAGGGAGACATGTCATTTTGGACTTGTCTATTAAAGTGAGTTATGTTCTAGGCATGAAAAACTAGCTCAGTGACTTTGGCCCAGTCATATTTTTTTTTTCAGCCCAACCCACCTCAATGAGTTGCTGTTGTGGGAAAAATAGGAAAAGAAAGGAGTACTGGTATGTTTGGTACCTTGAAATGAAAATGTGGGATAAAATATGAAAAAAGTGGGATAAAAATCTAAAAATAAATTCAGAATTTAGAGTAGACACACTGATGGGTCATTAATCCATAGTTGCTCAAGAAACCCCAACTGGCAGGCGTCAGTATGTGATCATGTTGATTCCAAGTTTTTTTAAAATTTTAAAATAAACTTTATTAAAGATAATTATTTAATTATTATTCTTTATTAAAGAATAAAAAGAAAAATATATACAGTGTATAAAATACCAAATTTCGTTACAAATGAAACCAATATACAAATACAAATATTCACATAAAACATATATATTTCTTATCAGCTAAGACGGTGTGATCATTTATTGAAAACAATTTTACTAATATTCATTTTCTATTTTTGGTATATGCTCTTAGTTTAACAATTTCATTTTTCAAATCCCTATCTTTTAATTTCCTGGTTTTTCTCCTTCATCCAATTGTACCATTTTTCTCAAACTGTAGTATATATTTTGAGTCTACCTGATCTCTAAGTTTTTGTGTAAGTAGGTCCATTTCAGCACAGTCAAGAACTTTCTGAATTATCAAATTATTTGTTGGCATTTGGTCACCCTTCCAGCATTGTGCCAACACAATTCTTGCTGCCGTGATTATATGGAGAATTAAGTATTTCATTTCTTTGGCATAGTCCCCTTTTAACATTCCCAACAAAAATATTTCAGCCTGAAATTCTAGTTGTATATTTGTAATTTCTTTTATCCAAATTCTAATTTATTTCCAGTACTTTTTACTTTTTGGACAAAGCCACCAAGCGTGAAAGAAGGTACCCCTCGTTTGCTTACATTTCCAACAAGTCAAATTTAAATTTGGGTACTGATTCCAAGTTTAATATACATGTTCTACTAAGCATATATTGTTTAGCCAATGGCAAAAAATGGCACTTTAAGATTTTCAGTTGAGAAAGTATATTACTGCACAGAAATCTGAGGAAGATGAAGGAAATTTATCTAGGATATGAATCATTCATGTTGATTCCAGATTTAATAGCACTTGAATGTCCCCTTCTGCTTGCAGTAGGGCTTACCAAGTGTGAATCAGTCCATTCATAAACACAAAGTGGATTATAGTATTGTGACTGTCTCACAATGACTGCACTGTCAGGCAAGTAAGCTTTCGTTGTTGTGTATTGGAGAATGGAAATCAAATGAAAGATCTCTGCAGCTTACTTTTAAAATGTTTTGTTCCAGTTTTCCACCAGTTCAAATGCTACAAATTCTTCAACTATGTAACTATTCAATAGTTAAATATTTCCAGATGATAAAACACAAAGGAATTTACAAAAGTAAAAATGTTAAATATTAACTAGTCATAGCGGTAAACAGCAAAAACTCCAAAAGAAAAAAAAATAAACCAAGATAGCTTTCAACTACTTTATTTTGGGTGGTATTGTATTAGAACTGGATTAGAATTTATGATAGTGAATGAAAATGTCTAAAAGAACTGCAATGGAGACAGAAAAATTCCTCTTAGAATATTGCCTTAAGTTTAATCAACACAGTAAACATGAGTCCTGAACCCTAACCCTAACCTTAAAATAGATTTTCGGCCTGTCAAAACTGAAAAGAGATTTGTTTTTGTTTTTTTTGTAAAACCAGCATTTCCACCCACAATTAAAGAGACTCTTCTAAAATAGGATTTAGGTTGCTTCCAAAGATCCATACTTTAGAATTCCTTGGAAAAATGGCTAATATTTACACTACTATGCATAACAATTTGCTTGCTGTTTTTTGTATTATCAATATTAACACAGGAATTTCCCCCCTCGCTCCCAAGAATTAAAAGGTTTGATGAGCTTTCTGAGTGAGTCCTGAGGTCTGGAAGGAAGTGGGGAAAATAATAAGCAACATTTCAGAGATTATCTAGTGTGTGGTTTCCCAAAAGTGATCTATTTTTAACCTCCAAGTGTTGATGGAATATCCAAAGTTGTTGCTGTTGTTATTCATAGTACTAGTATTCATAAAATCGTGACCATATAATAAACATTTGGAATTAATGAATAATCTGAAACTTCATGAAGGGATTGATGATTTGAAGAGTTTGGAGATCCCTGATCCAGTCCAACATCAAACACTGAAACACCAGCATACTGGTAGAGAAAAATACATTTATTGAATGTCCTTTTGTCAAAAGAAACTGTATTCGTGAAGGTACACAAAGAATCTCCCACATTTTATAAATTAGTTTATTTCCCTTTTCCCCACAAAATATTAACTACATAAGAAACACATCACAGAATCTTTTTTTAAAACATACTATGTATATATTTCTTAAAAAGCACAAAATGGAGTGACCATGCTAGCACCTGGACAAAATTCACTGGAAAAAATTATTTGGCAAGCCTCACCTCATAGTGCTGGTGCAAAGTATGGCATACACAGGAGTTGTTGTCTTTTGCCATAGCATGCCCTTAGGTCTCCCAAATCTGATCCAAAAGTGAAATCCGTTTACATACTTTGTTCAAATGGAAACAAATAGCTGATGTAGGCTAGCTAACTCCCACTGCATCTCACCACGTTTTCCTAAATTGGAACGGTTGAAAAGGCCCAATCCGTAGCATATAACAAAACAGCTTTTATACTCCAGAATCTGAGAGATTCGGTTTCAGATACCTGAGGATTAACAACTAATTTTTATATCGCTATGATTAGATGTGGTTCAGATGACATGCCACGTCATTTATTCATTAAAGATACCTGATTGGATCGGTTAGAGATCTTTGGCACGGTTTCACATTCAGTTAGCTTGCTTGCCCGCAGCATACAGCGTTGAATACACCTATGTAAGGTGTATTGTTCCCATTCTTGTTTCTGGCTAGCAAGGGGTGATAATACAATAGCCTTAAACCACCCAGTAGAGATATATAGTGGGGAGAAGCCAGATAGCACAAAGAAGCACATCTGTATCTAATCTTAAGCCTTCTGAACATTGCACGTGTCTTTGCTATGCAATCATTGTACGAGTTTATTGCTTCTGGTT